ATATTTAACTTGGAATTCAGTTAGCAGGCATGCATTTTTATTTAGATTTTGGCAGGGCTGAGTTTATTAGTGGGTGGGTTTTCAGCTTTATGGGTTAAGTTTTCAGGAGAAGGATCAGCCAGTTATTGGGGGGAACACGGTGGGACCAGTGACAGTTATTTCAGGAGACGTGCCCAGGCACATAGGGCCAGCTTCTCACTGAGGCCCAGTGTAGAGAGTAGAGAGCAGTGTTCTTCAACCTCAGCAACTTTCAGATGTGTGGATTTCAACTTCCAGAAGTCCCCAGTCAGCAAGCTTGGAGTTTTCCCTGAGGATCTGGTGGGCAGTTTGGCCAAGGCCTTAGTCACTGCCTAGAATGGGCAAGGGGCTGGGGTCTTGGATCGTATCACCCTATGCGGCCTCTCCCTGTGTACCATTTAAATAAACAAATATCACTCTTCAAGCAGGTACACCTGGTACCAATAATGATTTGTGGTTGGGGGAACCAGAAGTGACTCCTTTGTCAAGGACAAATCACTGTCTGATCACTGGGGTTGCAGTGACTGGCAGGGGTGCTGGGCCAGTGCTGAGAATATTGTTTGCTGTGTCAGATGGAGTTCCAGAATTCACTGTTCCAAAGGCTGGTTAATATGCCAAGCCTTTCATTCGAGGCCATGGTGACTAGCTGAAATTTATTTATTTATTGTTATTTCTTAAACAAATTTTTATAGCCGCTGAACTTATACACAGTGACTCTGGGTGGCTTACAGAATTAAAATCTACAAAAAGCCCATCAACCCCCCACCCCCCACCCCCCCGCAGTGGCTACAAACACAATCAAAGCAATCACTTGACTGGCTCTGTATCAACCCGAGGTCCTCAGGCCTGCTGGCAAAACCATGTCTTCAGGGCCTTCCAGAAATGTATTGAGACGGGGGCCAGTCTTATCTCTGGGGGAATGTTGTTGTAAACTTTATTGTCATTGTACCTCGTACAACGAAATTAAATTCCATAGGGAGGGAGCCACCACAGAGAAGGCCCTTTTTCATGGTCCCATTACATGTACTTCTCTCATAGATGGGACCTGCAACATACCCTGCCTCCTCGCTCTGATGGGCCAAGTGGATGTAACTGGGGAAAGGCGGTCCTTCAAGTAACCAGGCCACAAGCCATGTAGGGCTTTAAAGGTGATAAGCATCACCTTGAATTGAACCCGGAAGCAAATTGGCAACCAATGCAGCTCCCAAGAAATTTCCAAATCCAATTCAAAGTACAGGTAATCCTCTCTTAACAACCATTGATTTAGCGACCATTTGAAGTTACAATGGTACTAAACAAAGGGACTTAAAACCGGTCCTCACGCTTACAATCGCCGCAGCACCCCCACAGTCACATGATCATGATCCAGGCGCATAGCAACCAGCTCACACTTATGACAGTTGCACCATCCCAGGGTCACATGATCGCTATTTGTGACCTTCCCAGCTGGCTTCCAGCAAGCAAAATCTATGGGGAACTGTGTGATTCCCTTAAGACCGTGTGATTCGCTTAACAGCCACAATGATTTGCTTAATGACTGCTGCAAAAAAGGTCACAAAATCAGGCATAACTCACTTAACAACCGCCCCGCTTAACGCTGAATTTTCTGGTCCCTATTGTAGTCATTAAGCAAGGACTATCTGTACAATGTTATTATGTCTAAATCCCTAAATGGCTTGGCCTCACCTGCTTTCCTCCATGTGTGCATCCTGCTCTGTAAAGTGGTCCATTTGGGATCGGTAAGAACTTTTTAGTGCTAAGGAATTCCCTTCCTTGACTGCTACTTTCTCATGTTTTAGGAGAAGGTTAAAATCTGACTTCTACACTTTAGCCTTTCCTCCACAGAAGATGTGTTTTAATATGCTACTGATCTTTTAATGCTAAAAATCATATTTTAACCATTTTTAACATGATTACTTATTGTTTAAGGATATGGCCTTTTTATGTGTGTATGTATGTCTGTGTGTGTGTGTGTGTGTGTGTGTGTGTATGATTTCATTGCTATTTATTGCATTTTGCTGGAGACCACTGCAGAATTGGCTTCTTGCTATTGTTATTGGTTCCTGTTCTTTTTCAGGATATTTCTTAAGCTCTAAGTTGCAAGATAGCTTGCCAAACTGCCACAGTGAAATCCACAGTCTAAATTAGGACTAGGGAACTGCTGGAACTGGAGCAGAAAGAGAGGGGATACAGTACCTACAGCATTCAGCACCTGTTACTTGGTTTGGATGAATGATAATAAACAGGCTAGAGTGTTTCCAATCTGTTGTGTCAGAAATTTTGGAAACCTATGCAGTACTGCCAAAAGCAACCAAGGGTTTTATATCAGTGTGAAAGCTAGTAGACTTATGGTACTCTTAAGTTTTCATGAATCAGACCCCACTGAAAATGTGGGATTTCCTTTTTTCTGAAATACAGATGCCACATTGGAATATTTGCAGCCATGTAACAATTTTCTCAGCTAATTTGGACAAAGAGACTCCAGACTTTCTCAAAGACTAATGTGAGATAAACATGCAGCAAAGCATGCAGTGGCTAAAAGATCTATGTCAACACTGTAAAATTGAAAAGGCTGGTGACTTCTGAGTAAAAGCCTCCTGCTCTACTAATTGAGATGTGAGCATTTAATGAGAAGCAAAGACGCGGTGGTGCAGCGGCTTAATGACGCTGAAAGTTGCTGGCCAGAAATGGTCGACGCTT